GAGGGGAAAGAGGGAAGAGATGTTTGAGAGAATGAAGCCGGTGCCAATGCGGAAGCAGCAGTAAGAAGTTTACCCTTCAAAGTTGTGAGAGTAATACTCTTGATTTCACCGAAAATTGAACTGTCAAGACCAAGATTGTTAGCACCGAATGTTTGAATGATTTGAGCTTGTTGCTCCAATCTCTACGGCAGAATGCTTCCCATGGGCATGATTGACCTAACTGAAGCCTAAACAGTAACCGGGGGAGATATTGTAGATCCTTCTCCATTCACGAGTTCAATATGAATAGTCTGCAGCTCAAGAGGGGAAAAAATCCAGACATGAAGTTAGGATTTTCAACATATTCCGAGGAAAGTAAGACTGCAAACATATTCCAGACTAGTGAAAGACTTTATCAAGCTTATCAAATCTCTGGTTTATATGAAAACAAACACAAAGAAATCATATTCTGAACCATACTACAGTACCTCGTATGGCCTCAGATGTAACCCAAACTTCAGTTGATCCTTTAGCTGAATCACTTGTATTTGAGATATTGAATTGTTGAGAGTAAAGTTGAACAAAATTTCAAGTACTCCTAGGATGGGATACGATTCTAGAGGTGTCACAGTGATTCCTCTATGAAATTTTAAAACCTGAAATGTAATTGGCTGCCCGAAATTTGAAGCTCCCAAAGTCAGATTCGATTGTTTAGCAAACAACTGAATGAAAGACCATCTCAGTGAACTCAACGATTCTTGGCTTATTGCAGAGTCATTAGAGACTGGTAACACTGCAAACTTCACATCAATGCATTCTAATGCACCACATGGATCCATGGATAGAATAGCCACCTGTTTTGAATGAAATGGTTGGCATTTAGGATAAGAAAAACTAGAAAATGATGCAAATCACTGTACCAGTAGAGGAGCAAAATTTGTACTTCCGTATCTGGAAGATCGAAGTTGTTAAAGAAGTCTTTTTTTAGTTTTGATTCACGAGAAATAACCAAAGAGACTGGCTTTTCAAGCCTAAAGCATGGTTGAACTGGAGCTGAATAACAAGGCAATAAATGTGACCATTTCTAAGACAGAGCAACTAGTATCGAGTTGGGTAATGGAATTGCATATTATTAATTGTAAAGGCCCTATTCACTAATTCAAGGATCAAGAAGTGAGACTTAATCAGAGGAATTGTGGAAAGAGTACACTTAACTCTGCAACAGATCACCAATCAGAAGAACAACGTTCTCCTAAATTCCTAATTACACTGTAATCCTCTAAATTCACAGAAGAAATGGCAGAAACCGATCAGCTAGAATACTAAAGAACCCTAATTTCTAAATGGAAGATGCAGAAGAATCCGCCGGCGAAGGGTCCTTACCAGTGAACTTAATTTGTTGTTTCACATCAGGCTCAGACTTGGATCGAAGGGAGAGCAACGAGAAGAGCCCAAAGAGCAGGACCATAGAGCTGATGATGAGAACAACGACACAGCGGAGACTGAAGAACCGCGACAGAGATTCTGAAAATCTTGGCAGAAGAATCTAGAAGATTCTGGATTACCGGCATCGGGAGTCTGATGCTGATGGTGATCGTGTTGCTGAGGGTGCTTTCCCATTGAAAGAGTATCCGGGACTCCGGTTGCGCCAAATTTCTGGACCTCGAAGTGGGATTTGGGAGAAAACGAGGATGGATTTGGCTTGAGGAAGAAGAAAACGAGGAAGTGACAGACAAGTAACTCAACCAACGCCCAGAATAATTATATATATATATATATACACATATGCATATATTATGTGATCGCTTAAGACTCGGGGTCTTTGTTACTATACTGTTGCAGTTACGGAATCCAAATTCAGATTTTATTTTAGGGATTTAGATTTTTTTGTTTTATAGAAATCATATGTCTTTTTTATATCATATTTTGTTTTGATTCAATCTATTTTTTGATTAGGATCTCAAAATGGATCTATTTTGCGGGTCGGTTCACTAATCGATCCATATTTTTTCGAGACGAGTAAAAAACAATTTGAGCATAAATAATGGATTTAATGAATCAGTTCGTCACGAGTCGAGTTTGTAGTGAGCAAATTCGGCGAATCCGAAAAAAAAGATGATTTTTAATTTTTAATATTTTTCTATTTAAATTATATTTCTAATAAGTATTTGGTTTGTTTTGTTTAAAATTTTAAAATGTTATTATTTTTAGGGAAAATCCCAAAAAAATTACTGAACTTGGAGATAGCTCACAGAAAAATACTGAACTTTTTCGATTTCCAAATAAAACATGAACTTATAGATCTTAACATATTTAATACTGATCTTTTGAATTTTTGCCAAATATCCGATCGATCGTAAACGGCGTTAAAGTCAATAACAGAACGCGTGACGTGGAGCCCAATTATTGCCACGTATGATGACATGTAAGATGACACGTCAGATTTAAAAATTACAAAATAAAATTCGGCCGGTTAACATAAACCGGATCGAACCGGTTAATAAAATACATAAAATCGACCGGTTAACATAAATTCGACCGGTTAGAATAGATTTTAATCTTAGGGTTTCAGTTTCAACCCCAAAAACTCTCGAACGATTCTCTCTCCCTCTCACCTCTCTCTCTCTCTCTCTGTTCGAAGGATCTCCGTCGACGTTCCTGTGTCGAAGCTCCTCCGTCAATCGCGGCGGCGTCGTGAAGACGACGACTTCTACTGTCGTCGACTAGTGGAAAGAAACCGAGGTGAGAATTTCTAAACTCTCTGTTCCCCTCTCTCTCTCTTTGTTTTTTATTTTGATTTCAAACCCGAAATCGGTGTCGATGTCCAAATAAACTCTATTCACCAAGATTTCACATCCTGAAACCGAAAAGCACCTGTATTTCGAAAAACCCCAAATTCTGAAACCCTAAAATACTTCGAATTCGATAAATCCGAAACAGTTTAACTCCAAAATGACAAAATGTATTTGTTTGTTTTTCAGGTTAGACAGATTGAAAAGTGTTCGGCTTAATGGGATAAATTTTTTATTCACATCGAGAAGCTTTGTCTTTAGGATGTTATTTGTTAGGGTTTTTTGAAGATTAACAATTTGTTGTAGGATAGTTAAGTTGAACATACATATGGGAGGATATATGCTACATATGAATGGAGAATGAGTATATTTGGATGGCATTGTTATGGAAGGTATAGAAATAGACTCTGATTATCTTTGTTGGTTTGTGTTTGAAGATTTTGTTAAGGAGAACAAAATCAGTGCACCAATTTATGAAATGTGGTATAAATTACCACATCAGATATTGGATGAGAAGAAACCAATTAAAGAGGATGTAGATTGGGAAATTCGGGGCATGTGTGAACTTGCAGATGAGTATGGAGAAGTAGATGTTTTTATAGATCATGAGCTGTGTATAGCAACACCCGGGGTTAGAAGTGAGGGTCAGACAAGTAAGGGGGTTGATAGGAATGGTGAGGATGAGTGTGAGAGAAATAAGGGGCAGACAAGTAAGGGGGTTGATAGGAATGGTGAGGATGAGTGTGAGAGAAATGAGGGGCAGACAAGTAAGGGGGCGGATGATAACGCTCATGATGAGTGTGAGCAAACTGAGCAGCAAGCAAGTAATGGGGTGGATGACAACACTAGTGATAAGCCCGAGGGAAATCAGGGTGAGGGAGATAACAGGTTCCAAGCTCAGTTTAAGTCTGGAAAGGAAGGTCAAGCTGCAGCGGTTGAGAATGAATATGAGAGTGATAATGATTTTGTAGACAATGATGACATCTTTCTCCCTACTTCGCAAAATACCGAGGAAGAATGGAATGATTATGAGAGAGGGATGCGACAAAAGAAGTCAACAAGACAAACAATGCCCCGAGATAAAGAGTTTTTTTTCTTGGGTCAGACTTTCAATTCTGGAAAGGAGTTTAAAAAAGAGATATTGAGGTATGTGTTGATAACTCAACACAATATTAAGATGTCATGTTGGGGTGAAACCAGATCAGGAGCTGTATGTAGGACAGAAGAATGTCCTTGGAGAATTTATGCTTCATTGGAAAGCTCCATGAGCAAATGGATGATAAAAGTGTTTCATCCACATCACAACCACATTGCAAAAGATCGTGCATATATGGTTTCGATGAGGCATATTGTTGAGTTATTTTGTGATGTTCTTAGACGGAACCCATCTTATAAGGCCGCTGACATTCAACATGATATGAAGACAGAGTATCAGCTGACAGTCCCGATCAGTAAATGTTTCAAGGCAAGGCGCATTGCATTGGATATGGTAATGCAAGATCAGGTGGTGCAATTTGCAAAGCTGTGGGATTACGAGCATGAGCTCCGAAGGTCTAACCCTAACACAACCACTGAAATTGTCATTGATAATGGGTTATTTAACAAATTCTACATATGCTTTGAAGTGCTACGCAATTCGTGGAAGAAATCTTGTCGACCAGTCATTGGACTTGATGGATGTTTTCTAAAGTGGGAGCTAAAAGGAGAACTACTTGCAGCGGTTGGTCGGGATGCCGATAATCGTATTTTTCCTATTGCATGGGCTGTTGTACATATGGAGACAATAGACAGCTGGACTTGGTTTGTTCAGAAACTAAAAGCTGATTTATCCTTGGGAGATGGCCAAAACATCACCATATTGTCTGACAAACAGAAGGTACAAGTTATCAATCCTTATCTTAGATATAATAGATAGCTGGACTTAATTTGTCTTTTGATCAAAGTTATGTGTTTGTACAGGGTTTGTTGAATGCAATTCATCATGAATTACCACGTGCGGAGCATCGAATGGGTGCTCGACATATATATGCTAACTGGAAGAAGTCATTCAAGAGTCTAGAACTGAAGTGCCTATTTTGGAGAATTGCAACAAGTTTCCATCAAGGAATTATGCGGAACACATGGGTACATTGGCTTCTAAAGATCCTGATGCTCCGAACTGAGCCAACACAACGGTGTAGAGCTTTTTTCAAGGCAGATTCACATTGCAAGGATGTGCATAACAACTTATCGGAGAGTTTCAACCGAACTATCAAAGAGGCAAGGATGAGACCAATGATTGACATGCTTGAAGAAATCCGTAGACAAACAATGTTACGGATTGCAAAGAGATCGGTTCAGGCAACCAAGTGTGTAACGGAGTTCACTCCAAAAATAATGGCGGAGTTGGAAGAGGCTCGGGGAAAGTCAAGGCATTGCATGATGATACCTAGTGGTCGAGGCAAATACGAGGTAATGGAATTCGGGGTTAGTTTTTCTGTTGACCTGTATGCCAAGAGTTGTGCATGTCGTAGATGGGACTTGACGGGTGTACCGTGTCAGCATGCCATTACAATGATCAATGAGATGAGATATGATCTTCCAAGGTAACATTCATAACTCATTCACTTATCTCTATAATATGTTACACATACTAACACAATTTGTTGTTGTTTTGAGATAGATATGTGGCTGAATATTATTCCAAATCAACATGGGAGGAGACATATACACGTAACATTGATTCGGTTAATGGAGAACCAATGTGGGAAAAATTGGGTGTACCTAATTTTAGAAGAATGCTAGGCCGTCCGACAAAGTTCCACCGACGAAAAGATCCTCATGAAAGTCCAAAAAAGGCTGGACACATGACACGCCATGGTCGACATATGACATGCCGTAGATGTAGGCAAGTTGGACATAATGCTGCCGGTTGTAAGAATGAACCCGTTCTTGTGTATGGACCAAAGAGGAAGAGGGGTCGACCAAGAAAAGATGTTCAAGCTCAGAATCCAAGGAATCAAGTTCAGAATCAAAGGGTTCAAGTGTTGGATTATCTACGGGTTCCTAGCATGCGATCATATCGATCTAGGGTTTGGTTTACTAGGTTTCATGCAGCGGAAGAAAATCTAAACCTAGTCAAACGTCACACGCAACCAAACTCGCAAAAACCCGAAAGATCGTGTATATCACCGAGGGAATCGTTACTTACCTCGTTCTCGATGAGTCTTGAAGTTTATTTCGATCCGTGGTCTGTTCTAAATCACCAAGAGCTAAAAGTACAGCTCCTATACACGTATCCACACCGACGGGAAGGATTCCAAACGATTTGGAACGAATCTGCTAGGATTAGTGAAGAAAAGGGTAACTCAAGAGACGAGATCCAATCCCGGGATAATAGAAATCGAAGAGAACAGCTTCTCTAGGGTTCTAGGATGTTTCCCTGAGTTTTTAGGTCGGCTCTATTTTAGTTTGGACGAAATCCCAAACTTAAATAAGATTAGAAAACCCTAAAACGAATTTTTTGGAAATATTCCGGATCCCGGTCCGCCGGACCAGGAGCTTGGTCCGGCGGACCAAACTTAGTCCGAGGCTCACGGACCGGCTGGCCCGAAGGCGTTGTGTGGCGGACCACGTGTGGTCAGCTCCGGACCAAGACCCTTCTTGGTCAGTTCGGTCCGACTTGCCATTTCTCGGTCCGCATGTCCAGGAATCTGGTCAGCGGCTGACCAACTCTTGGTCAGCCAGACCAGGCCTGGACAGATGATCGCGGACCGAGCCTCCGGACCTCCCGGACTGACCAAACTTGGTCCGGGGCTGACCAAACTTGGTCAGCTCCGGACCAACGCACTGAAAACTCCTTTTCATGCTCGTTTCGGTCAAATCTCGTTTCCATTCTTCGTATTCTTCACGTATAAGTCCATCCCTATTGGTGTGTGACCCTGTAGGCCCATTCTAAGTGGTAGTGACTTTAGGAACCTTATCCGAACCACAAGTAATGGTTAGCCTCTAGCAAGACGCCATGACCACCCACTTAGAATTGAGTTAGAGGTGATCTAACCAAGGCATTAACAACTCGAATTCTGATCCTTTGTCTCACGATATCATAAGTTGAACAAGGGCATGATTTGAGCCACCCTTCAAGTTCAACTGCTTTCTCGTCTTGGCAAATCGACTAATAAAATAGATGCAACTTCATCTATAGCGTGGCCACGCGTTTTCATAGTCCGACTTCCACGAGAGGGCCCAGCGATATCTCTCCTGTTAAAGAGGTGACAAGTCCCATATTGCATGTCTACTATCTCCATATGATTCGTGAACGTATCTGATCAACGCCGTTATAATCATCCGGTTAAAGACGACGTTTGACGCAGTCAAGACACGCCACTCCTCATATCAGATACTCTAGACATCTCAGGTATGAGGATCCATAAACGAACCGCTGTATGAGATTCAAGTCATGACTCTGTCCATGTGACAATCTCATGCGGGTCATCCAGTCACTCGTACACAACGAGTACCCATGATTGTGACATGCATCCAATGCATCGATCACACCTCATGCTAGTCTTAATTCAACATTGTTCCCACAATATTAACTGACTAGGGAGTTTAGAATCATTCGCTAATGATTCAAGGATGCCGAAATATAACAAACATGCCAATCATATAACGGGAATGTAACGCATTCATAAATAAATGAATCAATACAAAGTCAAA